GGCCGCACCGGAGGAGATGTGTAGAGAAAACGAAAAAATAACAATAATTATAATAATTATTATAATACGAGAATAAAGTCCGTGACGACTACGTATGATAACGCTGCAAATACGATTTGCATGCGAACAACGTGCCGACCGAGTCGGTCAGACGTGAGTCGCCAGACCCGACGGCGAAAAATATCGGTTGGAAACGCAGACAATAATTGTTGTAGGTACGTTCAGTTTATCGCCGCAGTAGCGACGGCGCGTAGACCGTAACACGTAAACGACATTTCTACGGCAACAATTAATAATTATTATTCGTTGTACCCCGCGAAGGGGTTGGGTTTAGACCGTGCAATAATGTACAGCGCGCGGGTAGTACTAACCTACCTACGACGATGACAATACAGACGCCACGTCACGAAGCTTACCGTAACGAAACGGAAAGGGGGCGGTATCTATGCCAGCTTAGTGTAGTCCGATGTACTTCCCAGAGAGGAGGGGATCGGTTAAAAATAATGGTCGAAGTCGCTTTTTTATCATTATTTATTACGTCATTTTTATTTAATTTAAAAACAAAATGTGTGTTCACCATTTATGTACTTTTCATGAGCAATATGGTCAATAATGTGCGGCCGTGCCACCCCATGTTTATCAACTCCGCTGCGCCGCTGCAGCAGTGCGTAGTATGTAATCGATTTAAAAGACCAACGAGTGGAAAAAAAATTATCATTCGGGTCGTTTGGCTATGTACGCGCGCGTAACTACCTTTATAAATACAATAAGTCCAATAAATGCGATAATTGTATTTACGTATAAGCCACCACGAGCGCGCGATAATTTTATGGACGGGAAATTGTCAAATCGGCGTTTCGATGAACCATATAATATTATGTTGCCGTAACGACTTTAATATACACTCCAAAAGACTAAACACAACAATTACAACCGTGTTAAACATTAATATTTGTGTATTTTTTCAAACCATAAAATCGGTCGGTCAGGCCGCGGGCCAGTTATATACTTAAAAATATTGATGGCAGTAGACGTACAGCGTTCGTACGCGGTATATCTATACTCGTATATATATATATATATATACATGTTTGCGCGCATTAATATACATAAAATACGCATATAAATGCGCGCGGAATACGTTTCTTTTTTTTTTTTTTAGATCGTTTGCAAAACATTTTATGAAGACAGGTTAGTCTTTAGGATACAGATACCTATGATACGCATAAACGCACACACACACACACACACACACACATACACGTGTATGTTACACCTATATTCGTTCCGAGTGTTATTATTATTCAGGACTCGAGCCAAGAACGGCGTACGAAAAGAGTGGTTTTATGCGCGTGGTGGTTCGAACGTTATCCGACAAATCCTGTGGCCCCGATTAAGGCGAGACGTCATACATACTATAAATGTTACGTAGCGCATCTCCGGATCAACGTAGTACCTACGTCGAAAAAACGGACGTTCGGTTTCGCAATTACATTAAGCTTACGCGAAAATGTAAAATATTTTTGTTGAACCAGACACACGATGTCATAATGATGATGATGATGGCGGATCGATCGCGACGAAATTATTTCCGCCGGTCGTTGATATTATTATATTATTATAGTATGATACGGCACCGGGGTGTTATTACACTATGTATGTATGTGCATTGTACAGAAACGAGCCGTGTATTTATCCGTAATTTACAGGTGAAAAAAAAAAAAAAAAGGATGTATGACAGATCCTTATCGCGTCCAGTCTACTTTTTCATAATTTTATTATTATTATCGGGTAAGAGCCAATTTTATAATGAGAACCCTGCGCGCGGCGCACGGTATCCGGTGCACGAGGCCTGACCGGAAGGAGTGGAAGAACATTGCGCGTTTCACCTACACTGGCATTATAACGCCGGGGAAAAAATTAGCCCGTTATTATAATATTTTATTATTATTTATTTTTTCATTCTTTTTCGTTCTCGTCATACCTGCGCATTCGTACATGCGTATGTAAAAACAAAATGTCTGTCCACCGCGTGCTCGCGACGGGGAAAACGTTTTATCTATGTGTACACGGCGGTGGTTATTCGTCGTGACCTCGATGTGTTACCGTCTACACGGTCGTATACAAATATGTTATAAATGTAGTGTGCGTCGGTTTTTTTTTTTTTGTAAAAATTCAGCGTTTAAACGCGACGTTTAACGTTCATACGAAATGTGATTTTTTTTTTCTTTCTTTCCGGTCATTCACGTGGTATAATTCTAATAATAACGTAACAAAACCGTCGGTGTGCGTACAAATATATATTTAATGTATACGTGTAGTTAGTATCAGCATATAGGGCTAATTCTACGGTTCGGACGCGTCTGTTACCGGATTCTCGGTTTACACTCACAAATTACCGATTCCGCGGTGGTGCGTTCACCACTGCCGTGGCACGATACGTAGGCGCAACGCGAACGCACCGGTGGAGGAGGCGAGAAAAAAAAAAGGAAAAAATTAATACGTGTAATACCACGAAAATAAAAACGGGAACACGATCTCCTCCTCCTCCGGGATACGAATAAAACAAAGCGATCTCGCGCGCGGGGACCTAATGAAACGGCGGCTCCGCGTTATACATAATATCGATAATAACGCGTGGCGGCCCGTTCCGTAGATGGTAATGTTCTGAAAACGGTGTGCGCGCGCGCGTGTGTATTTATTTCATTTCGTCTCGGGAGAGAACGAAAAAACTCTACACCGGATCATACACGGATTGTGCGTTTTGGATACGAAATACTGGTGTACAATTTTGTGGGCGCCGTTGATGGTCGGGTGTCCTTAAAAAAAAAAAAAAAAAAAAAAATAAATAAAAATACACGGTCCGTCGTAATATCTACGTGTCGTCGCAACGGTACGTATTAGAATAATAATTTTACACGCGTATTATTTATCGTTCTCTCTCGCTCTCTCGCTCACTCTCCCGGCGTTTCGTCTATTATTCTCCTGTTGTTTTATTTTTTCACCGTCGCGGGTTGTTAATGATAGCCATAACCGACGGACTGACGGACTGACGGACGACGACGACGACGACGACGACGAGTAAGTGCGTGCGTTGTGGTCAGCCAGGTGTGAACAACAGTCAGCGCCATCATCAACGGCGTGCCATCTCGTCCATGACTGCGCCACCATAAATAAATCCTTGACGGGCGGCGGCGAGCTGAGCGTTTTCCACGCGTGTGCGCGCGGAAAACAAAAACATGACCGTGGTATACACGAGCGTACCGTGCAGCGTTCGCGTACGCATGAAATATACGTGGAATCTTTGTTACTGCAACGCGTACGGGGGGGGGGGGGGGGGGGAGGTAATGTGTGTCTGCGACGTGTTTCACTTTTTTCACTCGAAAATTACTCAATGTCCGGTTAATATTAATTAACAATTAACGTGCGAGAGGGGCCGTTAAATTTTACAGCTCGTGTAACGCACGCGGAACGTTATGCTGCTACCGTTGTAAACATACATACGTTCGACGGACGGTTAGTATACGCGTACTTTGCATACGTACGTTACTGTGTATTATTTATCTGTTCACAGATATTGTTACGCATGACCATGTATTTGTATGCATACGGACGTGTATGAATGGAACCCAATGTTTTTGCTTCGAGATCGGTTGAGAAACCGTTTGTATTGACATTTCTTAAACGGTTTAAACAAAAAAAATGTAAAACGATTGTTTATATTATTACGCACGGTTGAAGTGTATCGGATTTTTATCTGTAAGTGAATAATAATCAACGATTATGAATATTGCAAACTGGTTGCGAAAATATGATAATGTCAATAGATTTTTAGTCGTCCGCAATCGACCGCGCTGTCACTCCGGGCCCGTAATAGTGTAGATAGAACACTGAATGCTTTTCGTATTATTCTGTTATTACAATTCAAAGCAAAAAGATTTGATTTTGATTTTTATTGAACGTGTGTGAAGAATGATTTGGTAAACGAAAAAAAAAAATTAATTTTTTCCCGACCGTAGTGGAGCAAATTTAGTCGACGATAGGGCGAGAACGAAGGTAAGTTATAAGCAACGGACTCGAGCAATTTGTCAGCTACACGTATAAAGTGTACATTGCGTCGCATCATTTACCGCAGATTTCTCAAATGTACGAACAGTACTTATATTACGAGCGCAAGACGCCGGAACGAGAAAAAATTTCACAACTACACAATTTTCGTCTTTTCTCCCGTATAAATATGGTTTATAAAAGTTTATTTACTGGCAGCAATTGCGAATCCGTCCATTTATAAAATAGGTATATATTTATGAATCCGAACCGAATCGTTTATGTTCGGTAAATTCGTTCCTGTACACATATGTTATATATCTATAATTGTAATTCAAAAAGATTATTCATAGGCACTCGTATACGCGCAAAGAAATATTTTTAATAACTTAACATCGGGTGAAATCTATTAAATGTTAACCACAATAGAAATGTGCTCGTGTCTCGTACAACATAAATTATCGAATCATATCGATGGTGATCCTTGAAACGAACGCACTCGCATCATGCTGCATATTTAATGTTGGAACAGTGTTGATGATAATTATTGAAAACCGAACGTGTACAAGGTTAAATTAAAAATGTCTAAAGGACGTTGGAGCCAAGCCTTCCTTCGAGAAAAAGGAAAAATGTATTTTTTAAATATTATTAAGACGATAGTAAAATGTGAGCGAAAAGGAGGCGAAAATAACGAGAAAAAAAACTGATAATAATTATTTTTTTTGTCCTCCAACTTTAAGGGTAATATTTAATTTAAAAACAATTTATCTTACGCGAGCTGGCGATGCTTTGACCGCAATGTTTGTCACGAACATCTTTTGCTTTACCAATGTATTTAAAATGAATCCTAAATTTTTTTTTTTATATATACTCGTATGCGTGCCATGTACGTTTGACGATACCGGGTTACTAACAACGCTAACCGTAGGGGTTGGAAAAATATGAAGACTTACCGTGCGACGCGGTTGACGGCGGTGGTGCGAACGGCGAGTGGATCTGCGGATGATAGTACCGGGCGGTGACGGTGAGCGAATCGCGGTGGTACGGGACAGCGGCCGCGGCCGTGGCCGCGGCTGCGGCCCGGTGATGATGGTAGTCCCTGGCCGCCGGGTGGGTGTCCAGCGCGCCGGCGTGGTGATGCGCGAAGAACGAGTTCATGTGGTCGGTCATGTTGTCGGCCATCAGCGGCTCGTCCCTGCACGACGTAGACGAACCGGCCGGCGTGTCGTACCACCGGTGATGCGGCGCGTGATGGTGATGGTGGTGATGAGCCCCGGCACCGCCGACCACTTCCATGCCGGCAGCCATTTCCATGCCGCTTTGAGAGACCGCACGGCTGCGACACTGGAAAACGACACAACACCAGAAATTTAGTTTTTCGCCAAACGATTTCGAGCGTTTTAAAATGTAAAAAAAATAAAAAAAATGCAACAAATAACAGTGAATACCAATGGCGTAAACTGGATGGTGCAAATGTGACTTTTGCAGCACCAAATCTAAAATGTGATGGTGTAAGGTATATTTTTGCACCACTAGAATATCATTGAAATTTGTATACCTATAATATTTTTACGAGCCAAGGAAATCAGCATATTAAATAAAAATGTTGATTGTTTTTTTTTTTTTTTTTATTAATATTATAATAATAAAGGTTTTACCGTTAAAATAATTCAAAATGTATTTATTATTTAAAGAATATATGAGAAATATATATAGTTTATTGGGAAAGATTTTACTTAAGTTGGAGAATTGGAGAGTTGGAAATTATTAGTTGAGAATATGCCCCTGCAACACCAGAAATTGAACCCAATTCACGCCACTGGTGTAATACTATATTTTTAATCAGATCCGGCTCAAACATTTACTTACACCTAGGCAAACTTAAGTTTTACCGCCCTTACATGTGAATCAAGTACATCGAATATTATTTGTACACAAACAATACTAGAATACACTTGATTCCGAGTTCAGTATGTTTGTTTATGTAAAGTTAACGATCTGTTAGATTAATACGTTTGTAGATAAGTAAACTAATTTAAATAAAACTAAACGGTTTTTCGATGCTTATTTTTTACTACACATAATTTGATACGAGTAGGTACTAGTAAACGTAATATTTTTTTTTAAAAATTGTCCATGGCTTAAAAATGTCAAATGCCGTCTTAGGCGTGGACCTACGTCGCCTGTCCCTTGAGTCGGGACGGTTTTTAACGCTAGTGATTTTGTGCCGCCGGCACAATCAATACATGGAATACAATTCGAAGCCAATAAAAATAAGTTCTTCGGATAACTTCTAAAACATGGGTCGGGTGTACTCTTGACGGTTATAAAAACGACATTGATTCATCGTGTAGTATCATAGGCCGTATTCCCTTTCTCGCTTTCCGCGCGAATTTCTATAATACAGAGTTAACAACAATAACAACGATAAACATTGGTATTTACACGCGATTTAAAATCTAAAACGACCACTACGCGCGCTCCTCCGTTGCAATGGAGATCTTGACGAGATCCGATATAACGTAATTACAATCACCCGCAACGACGACCCGTGTGCAGGCCGCCGCAAACGTTGTAATTATTATTTTTCATACGCGTTTGTACACTTCAAACAGTAGACGATATAGATAATGCCTCGCGCGCGCAACCGAGTACGGTTTATTTATTACGCGTACGCGCGCGCGGGCCAAAGGGAAAGTGTTTTGATTTATGGACACATCATATTTTTTGATTTTCCATATCAACGTGCGCGCAGCGCGTCTATTATAATCGCATTTTTACTTTCCGCCGTAGCGTAGTACCGCGGGCGGAACAACAGTCGTTACGATTTTCACATTTATATCTCCTGCGGTTCTCCAAATTAACATCGAGAATTAATCACTGGAAAACGCGTGTAGAAAACATACAGTCCTTTTACGCGGTACGCGTACAAAAGAAATCCGCTGTTGGGACGAGGAGCGTGTGGTGGGGAGCGACTACATATTGCGATGGTGGCTTGAGGATTTCATGTTTATCCTAGTTTCATCCGAAACCGCGTTGAAAGTCTACACCCGGCGAATGGATGGGCGTTTTTAAAAGTCTACAAAAGTTATTTTTGATTTCGATTTATTTCACAAATTTATCGTGAGCTTTTATGGCGCAGAACACGTTAAACGTATTACACGAAAGCTTCCCAAAAATATTTACCTTTATCAGAGCGTAGGTACTCAATCGCGAATCATAGACTACTTTTGTCGATAACTAGTAATAGTTAAGATTATGCTATACCAAGTACAATAAGTCTGTTTTAACTATCGTCGATATTTAATATCAATACCATAAACTTTTAATAATTAACAATATGGGTTTAAATGTTCAAAATTCCATGAAAAAAATTTTTAATACGATTTTCAATTTTAATTAATCACGTTTCATTATAACGTTGTACGATTTCAATCGTTGAAAATTAAGAATCGTCTTTTTATGACATTTATAGCGTACAGAACTGTACATTATCAAGACTTCAAAAGTTTAATATCAATTAAACAAACGGTATAAAAGTATTAAAACAGTTACCATAATATAAAAATTAATGAAACCCATCAATTATTGTGTACGTAGTATATACGTACTTCTCTTCCGAGGGTCATGTCCCGTTTATGCGCGTGTGCATCTACCTTGTGCTAATAATAATAATAGCTGCTGCAAAGCAAATTAACTTGTACGCGAAATTACGCAAATCGTATAAAATATTTATGTACGTGTATTATACAGCCTAACCGTCGCTAGAACATTAATCATTGCGCGTGTTCACAGGAATTCAAGGTGTCCATTGTTCGACGGGAGACCAGTGGGAAAGACGATAAAACACACGGTTTATAATGTAGAGAGAGAAAGAGAAGAAAAAAAAACGATTGGCTGTTACGTATTTTAATTGGAAAACAACAGGCGCCCTTACGGTGACAATGACGACGGTGCAAGAGCGCACGCGCATATGGGTTTGGATAATATTTTGATTTACATTTCGTTATCGATCCGAAACCTAGATCCTTTGCAACAATGATTTACTCTACACGTACCCATTTGTCTGTGTAAAATTTACCATCCGTACCAACATAAGATTGTTTGGATCGGTCTACGCGCGTAACTATTGTTAACAAGCGAAAATCGTTTATCGCATATTATTATCGTGCACCGGTGCACAGATGTATCGAAGACTGTTCGCGATCATCGCTACGGTACGCGTTCAACCCCGTATCAGCATCGCGTACGGTACGGGCCGACGTATGGGTCGAAGTAAAAAAAAAAAATAATAATAATAATATACCTAAGGGATAAGATGATAACCCGATTGGAACAAAGATATTGCGAAAATTTATGGAGGTCTTTCGCAATTTATTCTAAACACCGTACAGCGTGCACGCTAAGTGGGCTAATCTTCTTTCCACATAAGGACAGACACCTGTAGCCACTATTGTTGCTGGGGATAAGTGTACACTGTGCACGCCTACGACATATCCGTACACGCAAATCTATACGTATACGAATACGCGTTCGCGTACACGCGCAAAACGGGAGGTAATTGGCTGCACCCCGAACACATGTACTCAGGAGGAAGTTCGCTGTACATTACGCGTGTATTAGGTACACGCGGTGATGTCACCAATACGGTTGTTATGACGTGGCGGAAACAATACCGTGAAAAAAAAAAAAAAAAAACATCGACACTACATGGGGGCAGCAGAGACTTATTGTAGTATTTTATATGTATTTCGTACGGTACAGTATTGCATAAAATGCGCTACGGGACTTAATTTTAAGGGAGACCACCGCTGCGATTACGAGTATGTATATGTATACACACACTAACAATATCATGTATAATTACTATTAAGACGAGTGTATATACCTACGAGATGAAAGCTACATGAATGAAAGAAGAATACTCGAATAAATGCTAAGTATAATATAAATAATACGTTAGGTAATAGACACGATAATGGAACAATGATGGAACGAAATGAAAATACTACGCATATAAGTATATAAACATTCGCATGTCAAAAAAAAATATTCAAATTAAACTATATTGTCTCTATTGCGAACCCGAAGGTACAAAAATATTTATACTCTGGTATACCAGAGACTATAGTCGTCAATCTACGCGCATGGATTAAAATAAAAGGCATTTGGGTAACTGTTCAAAACGAAAATAACTTATAATTTGTAAAATCAGTTTATCGACGCTTTGTAATCGAATAGTTTAAACTCGTGAGTTTTGACATCTGGCGATTAGTAAGTTTGGACGTTAAAATTGATAACATGATTAATTTTCTAAAACTATATTGATTTTTTTTTCAAGTAATTAATGATGGACTGCAGAGTCATTCAAAAATGTATAAAATATGCACAAAATATTGTATTCATGAACCGTATATGTTAATAATTGAAGTTGAAGCTCATGGATCACTACGACTATGTTGCTGATAAGTACTTTGGATACAAATATATTTCCAAACACTTTATGCAGTTAATAAATTATAATTTACAATGAAGAAAAAATGAATAACAAAAACATTAGTATATTATTATAATAAACATGTTCTTAAATTGAATCGTACATGAATCAAGTTACCGAAATTTTACATAGATTTACATAGATAAAACAATACAATTATTCATAAATTTTTGTCCAAATAATTGTTAAGTGTAAATTGATTAAATTAAATTTTAAGAAAACTGTTTAAACTGTATTCGAGTTACTATATACAGGATGCATTTCCAGCTTTACAAACGTGGTACAAAAATAAATCGTTCAAAAAAGTATCAATCATTTTATAATTATACGTATATGATTGATTAATTTTGGTGAATTATAAACTTTTATTTTGTCTCTAAACGGCCAATATACTGGATCCCTCCACGTAAATAATCCACTGGGAGTTACGGTTTTGGATGTTTTAATAATTAGTTGATGATTGTGAAGATGAACTTTTAAATTTTAGTTTATTTAATTATTTAAAATCAGGTCAGTCATTTCATATTATTTTTTACATAAAAATATGTTTTAAAATGTGAAAATATAAAATAATGTATTTAAAATTATTCATGTGTTATATAGGTTTTATATTATGTATATTTTTAATTTATTTTAGCTTTAAATTGAAAATATAATCATATAGGTATATAATGCTAATTTTTTTTTGTGAATTTATAACATGAGAAATTTTTTGATTATAAATATTATTATTTTTGAACGAGTAAACTAATGTATCTAATATATGTATATGTCTTAAACATCTATACAGGATTGTTTATTTTTTTTTCTGTAACAGAGTATATTATATGAATCTACATAATACCGACAAATAATGGTTGTATATAAGGGCACTACTCACAAAGGAACAAAAACAAATTAATTTAGGCATAGGTTATTCACTCATTGTTGTATTATAATAATGACCTTAAAACGTTAGTTAATTAGTATAAATAAACGTAATAGAGTTACCTATTCTAACTATTCACTTCTTTGATAATCATATATATATATATCAATTTAATTAGTGTACTTTATTATTTTTAACTATTTATACATCTTAACTTGTAGTATCTAGGTAATATAACAATATTGAAAAATAAATAATTCATGTAATTTGATGCATCAAATAATAATACACTTGATTAAATAAATATATTACTATTTTTTGTTTATTATTTTCAGTAATTACAATATTATTTATCATTTTTATCTATTTTGTTTAGTTTCTAATCATTCACTATTGTTATTCTATGTGTACATTTAATATTTTAATCATTGAACTGTAATAGTTTTTACTAAAAGTTCTAATAAAAAAAAAAATTAAAAAAAATTTTTTTTATTATTATAAAGCTACATGCCTACCAAGTATGAATTAGAAAACACATTTTGATTCAAAAATTATCAATTCGTCAGTATTTTTTAGATATTATAATAACTGAGTATTTTATTTTCCATTTTACATATATTCTAGTAAATTATGAATATAGATTATATATTATACATAGATATTAGATACATTTTGTCTTTAATTTTATTATCAACTTAATAGTGGGTTTCTTTTCTTTTTTTTATTATTTTTCATATAAAAATATCTATAAATAATTTAAATACCTAGTTTTGTTAAAGTGTGTCAAAATAAGGTTTTCCTTAAAATATTTCTATTTGAATATGTGTGTATATAAAATATAGTTAGTTAGTACATTTTATGAACTTAAAAATTATTATTTATTTAATGAAAATTGATAGGTACTATATAAAATGTTGTAATATTTTTTACAGTTTTTAATAATTAAGTAAAAACAATAGAATTTATGCTTACTTATAAAATAACCTTTGGGTATATATATAGGGTAAATATATTTTGACGGTTAACTCAAAATATCACATAAATATTAAGATAAAAAATTTTATACAAATATTAGACTTAAGGACGCCATCTAAAATAAATCAATCTTAGAATCGTAAATGAATGCTTTGAGATCATCGAATTTATGAAGTAAAATTCTATTGTGCTTATCATTTAAAAAATGGTTTCGCATAGGTCAGACACTTGAACAGCTGGTACACAACTATTTTACCGATATTTATGTTCCCCGGAGACATAATATAACTACGTGCTACTACGCACCTAAGCTATACGTATGAAGTTCGGACAATTCTTATGGACGGATTTTTGATCGCAATTCAATAACCATTGCGAAGCGGAAATATTATCGTAACAGAGTTGTAGAGTTGAACTCGTGAATTTAGAACAAGAATATTACGTGTACGACGTCACATCAATGTTATATTTTGTTCGAACAATGCGATTACTTACATTTCGGGTGCACTGGTATCCTAACAGTAGGCGACTTGGCACGTGACCGTCATAGTGGCGCGGAAACACTGCTTATTGCGTTGATACAATGTTATGCACCGGAAACGTCGGTAAACATAAAAACAATCGGATATTAATATTATAAAACTGGTGTACTGGTGTCGACCGAGAAAGACGAGAACACGCGCGCACAAGGCCGTAGGTACACACACGAATCGGAAAAATCGAAACGAAAAACGTATGTAAATCGTTGTCGTAACGCAGTCGTCGGTTATTGTTACCGCGTCCGGGGACGAAATGTGGAATCGAATGGCAGTACTGTTTTTGTCGGGCGGAGGAAAAACAAAAGGAACGACGACGACGAAGATGATGATGATGAAGGATGATCGATTCGGGTCGGGCGGCGGAAAAAAAAAAAAGAATTTCACGCGCTCCGCGATCGCAACCGGTGTCGAACGTTGAACTGAACGGCGGCGCGCGGCTCTCCGCGCTCGCGGCCCGGCGGAACCCCCACTCCGGACGGCCGGTGCCGAACGTGCGCGGCACCGCCCACCGGTCGTTCCATTGGTCGGCGCGCGGTCGACGGTCCGGCGGAGAGGCGGGACGGAAAACGTGGAGAAGAAAAAATAAAAAAATAAAAAAACACAAACGTGTACAGAAGTGAAAACCGCGCGCGCACGCGCACACGCTACCCACCCGCGGTCCATCCTCCCCTCCCCCGCCCCTTCCCCGGACGTTCGTCCGCCGACGACTGGCACAAAGCGCTCCCGCCGATCCGTCAAAGCGCACGCACGCCGCGGCGTCAGAGAATCACCTCCGCCGCCGCGGCCCAGCGCTTTTTTTCAGCCTACATGCGCCTACGGTTTTTTTTTTCGTTATTTCTTACCGATTTACTCTCGTCTTTTAGCGTGTTTCACGGACCGCTATTGGACGCCGCCGTACTTTATGCGCCTGAACGCGCGCGGGCACACGTAGTACGCACAGTTCAACGGTTAGTCTAACCAGGGCCGTATTAACGCGTAGGCACTGCGCCTAGGGCCTACGAAAATGTGTGGCTACGATTTTTTTTT